ACAGGCATCGTTACGGGTCATTTTCATCAACAGTGGTGGTATAAATACAAAAACTCTATCTTTCATTAGTACAGTGCAAACTAGGAATGGTTACCATTTCCCCCCTCGATCGACGATGGATCGTTGATCCAGGTCAGAAAATCCATGCCCGTAAAATCAAAATCATTCCCTTGATCTAGCTGACTCGACAGCCATCTCAAACACGGCGCCCATCGCGAGTCAAGCATAGAGACGATCCTCGCAGCTTCATCACCCCATTCCTTCTTCATCCACCACGGTCCATCCTGAGTGACTTCCTTCATCATAGCACAGTAGTGCGCCAATATGATGAGCGCACGGGGCCTCGCCTCTTTCAGTAGATGAAAGAACGTGTTGGACATCAAATACCACCATAACCCCACGCATCTGTGAGACGAGGCTCTCCAAGCCAGCTCTAAGAAATGTATCGACTCCTGATAGGCAGTGCGCACCGACACGTCGTGCAACTCCTCAATGTCTGCAGCTGAGCTCAAGATAGCCGACAAGGCTGACGGAAACTGTTCCCTCAAAGACGTGGGGGGATATGGCGGTGCGATAGCAACCAAGAGCGAATGCATAACATTGTCCTGGAGCTCTGTCCGGTTCGTCGAAATGTTACGGCGGATTTCGTGGATGGTGATATACCAATCGCAGGTATTTGGGAATACTACCGCCGATGCAGCAAATTCATACTGCGAAACGAGACATAGCGCGACGAGGACGGCGTTTATGTCTGCTGTGCCATCACTGTCTGCCATGCGCAGGCAGATTTTCGCTTGGTTGTAATAATCGGTCGCGATTTCGGCGTATCGACGGGACGTCGGATCTTTGTGGTGGATGTGAAGGGCGGAAAACGCGAGGATGGCTTGGAGGAGACACTGATTGTGGGGGTCAAAGGCCATTCGGGGGATGATGTCTCTCCATACTGTCGTGACGTCGGGATCTGAGCAGAGGGAGTAAGAAGTAACGGTAGAGTAGTGATGCATCAATTCGAGAGTTAACAGGTCGGATGAACCTTCGCCGAGAGCCCATGGCGAGAGGAAGCCTTCGGTCGAACTTGACTGTGCGACTACCATGCTCTGTTCCGGCGTCGTAGATTCTGGTTTGGGGAAAGAAATACCCCAGACACATTCTACACATCTCTTGGTGCAGTTGTTGCATATGGGAATAGCTTCATCGCACTGCAAGTAACTTCAGCATCACCCTCAGCTGAAAATGACCGGTGGAGAACATACCTTGACTTTGCGCTGCTTGCATGTGTTGCAGCCGCTTCTTGACTTTTGGTGTGGGCGTATTGGTGCCATGTTGTATCAATGTATGATGAAGAGCAGTATAAAACAGCTTTAACAACCTTTACCACACAGCCTTTACGACGCGGCTCGGCATTCCGGCCCGGACAACTTTTTTCTCCCTTGCAAATCCGCTGATCGTCGATTTGTCGTCAAGCCACATTATAAATCTCGGCCGGACCGAAAGGACACATTGCCGTCGCAAATTTTGCTTTTTCTTAAATAATCTCTTCACAGATGGACCTTGCTCCAAGCTATGTCCGGTAGGCACTGAGGAATATTCAAGGTATGCATTCTCCGGCCCGGTGTCGTTGTCAATGTCCGCAGTGAACAGCGCAAGTGGCTTCCAGAACTGAGAATGAACAGCCTAACACTGCCAAGCTGATCAGGGTCGTGTCGGAATGCAAAGTTCATTTTCACTACATTGACCTTTGACTTGAAGCAGGATCTTTCACAGAAGGCGCGTCAGACTCTGCGCTGCTAGATTCTTGTCTGCAGCGAACACACATTGTGTACCCCCAGTCCTAACGTGTCGAATTCGGACTCATTTAGGGGCGACGCCACTTGCCCTGAACATACGAAGTGATACCCAGCAGTGATACATCTATCATTACTGCGGAGCCTACGGATGAGCACACGTCTTCGTCATTGTGATGGTGATCCTCCTTTGAAGATCATGACGTTTAATCTGAAGGCTCTCACGTCAGATCAGGCCGCAGGCAACTCAAGCCTGATCAGGTCGCTAAGGAATGTCATACGCGTGTGCATCCTACTGCGGGCATTGCCCTCGTCCGTCCTCGAAGGTGAGGGCTGTGCCAAAATATCCTGGGCTGTGTGAAATGAGAAGTGGTTGAAACGTACAGAATGGTGTGTTTGATGGGAAAGGACGTACTTGTATCTACGCGACGGAATGATATGTTATGGAAATCGCGTTTACTGGTCGCATCCAAAAGGAATCGGCTGCAGAATAGCTGTACTTCGAACATGCATTAACGACATTGGATGGCGAAGGTGATGTGTTAAATTTGGAGGGGCGGCGATAGCTTCTAAATATCGGCGGGAGAAACCGTAAAAGGTGGAGACCATCGACGTCGACAACTAATGTCTGCTCAACAGAAAGCAGAACCTTAACCCTAAGAAACCTTGGGTTAGATTTACTTTGAAGTTCTAGGACGAATTTTGGACATAAGAAGCGTCATGCTGCGGACATCGCCCTCGTCACTCCTCGAAGGTGATGGCTGCGCTTTAGGACACCGGGCTGCGAGGAAGGAGAAGTAGCTGAAACATACAGAATGGCGTTTGAAGGAAAAGACAGGGTCCGTGCGGCAAACGGAATCAAATGTTGTCATAGGAATTGCGTTTAGTTGCACCCCAAACAGATCGATAGCTGCGCCGTGAACATGTGTCAGCAACTCTAAGTGAAGAACACAATGGATTACCTTTAGAGGAGTACGGATATCTCCCATATATTAGCAGGATGCTGAGACCTGGCCGAAAGAAAATATCCTCCGTCTCTCCATGACACAACAAACCCACGAGCGTTGAAATAGCACATGCATGTATATAAGAAGCTAGGCCAGCAATCCTAGTGAGTCTGAGAGCATAAAGACTGAAAAGAGAGGGAAAACGTTAGCTTGTAAAGGAGACATGAACACACGACAGTCCATATCATGACATCGCGTGTAGTTGCGTCCAAAATGGATTGGAACAGCTTTACTGCAAATATGTTAGCAACATGTAACAATCAACGCTATTAGATATCATCATCGATATTGGCAGGAAAAACCACGGTAGGTGGGGACCGTCAGCGTCAACAAGGGGTAGCTTCCATTCAACAGAAATCAAACGCTAGGTTAGGTTTGTATTCAAGGTCTGTATGGTCTGGGACGAACTTACGACGTGAAAGGCGTCTTACTGTTTTTTTTTTCATGCTGACAACTAGATGAAGGAAGTTGTTCTCTGCCGGCTTCTTATAACACAACCAACCCAAGGCGCATCAACACAGCACATAGGCGCATATAAGAAGGTAGGCCCACAATGCCAGTGAGAATGAGCACATGAAGACTGCGAAGAGGGAAGAAGACCCGTCAGATTAGCTTTAAAAAAAAGACATGAACATACGACATTCCATGGATACATAGCCGTACCCTATTCATGGCAAGAAGCTGTCATTTCACTGCTGCTTGCATTCCAGACAGTAGACACCGGATCAGTGCTCTGGAATTCGCCGACGTGCTCGTGGTCGTATCGTTCATCCCAGCAATGGCATATTTGATCAGATTAAGCTTCTATATCAGTAACCAACAGATTTATAATGAAGGGACGATTGCTGACCTCTAGGCTGTTGTGGAAGATTTGCGCAGCGACTACGGTACCACCCGCCAGTTGCTGCACTTTGTTCGCAGCTATAGAGGACGAGCTGGATGAGGCCGAATATAAGGCTAAACGTGACCTTTATGAAGGGAAAATACAGCCCGTGGTTCACGGGTGATCCTGGAGTATGGTGGGGGCTAGTACGTGCGGTACCTGCCTTGTGAAACTAATTCTTGGCGACCTCATCATCCCGTAGTCTAGTGCATTTTCTATATGTACGGGATATGCAACTTGCCGTACAAAATGCACATAGACAGCGCAACACGCCTGGCCTTGGTCCCGAATACCAGCCACATTCATACCGCATTCATGCAGGATTCGCAGAAGAACCAAGCGTTCTTCATCGTCGCACTGATACTATTTGTGCCTCAAGGATGGAGGTCGAGTTCGAGTCAATTGTGATGTTGCTGTGAATATCGCAGAAGTCAGTTACTGTTCAAGCTGCCTCCATCGGTAATAGAATGGCGCACCATCATGTAGTTCGTCCTTTCGACAGTAAAGCACTTGGGCACCAATTTTTACAACCAAGTTGAGCCGTCGTGGAGTTCATCTGTTATTTTGATAGAGCTTAGGATAAATAAAAATGTTACTGGGAGCGTTGGTGATGATGATGGTTAGAAGCCAAGAAACACCGGCCCGGAAAATCGCGTCAATGACGTGGGAGCTGGCGGCCTTTTCGCTGTCTTTGGCACTCTAGGTCTATCACACCTACGAAACTGGTCTCCTTCAAAAGATCCCGATATACTGGGAGCTACTGGCGCATTTTTTTAAGAAACTTGACTCGTTTTCAGGAAGGACTAGCTCTGTCACAGAATGCTACGGCGACACGAAGATAATTGAACGATTTACACGCGATATGGACGACAATGATTCGGAGCTGGGAAGGATATCCTTTGAGCTGTCGAAGAAAGGTAGCGGTGACTTGTGTGAGAATTTGAACGTTGTTTACACGAACCAGTGTTCACCTTCGTTATATCAGCCATACCAAGATGAACGTCTATCCTACCGAACGGTGCTTCTATCTTCCTAGCAAGCGTCTTTCCTTATCATCCAATAGTTTTCTCATTCCCATTTCTATCAGCGATACCTCATCTATTCACTGGTTGACCCGTTTGCTCCACATCATTCACTACAGCCTTTCTTATTCATGGCTGCATTGCTTCCAATTAGAACATCGTAGTCATCCCCAGCGATTCTCAGCACTTCCCTATAGCTTTCAGCTTTTGGATTCTCAGTGCCAATGCTTGGTTGTAGGAGGTCGCTTTCGGAACTAATAGTGTCACTTAATGCTCTAAGCTATGTATGGAGGAACGTGACGTTGCCTGCCTAGCTCAATCGGATAGAGCGTCAGACTTTTAAAAACCAGACGGCTTTGTATACACATCTGAAGGCTGTGGGTTCGACCCCCACGGTGGGCTATTACATTTACACTTTTTGCCCCCAATGTTTACAATTCCATTTCGAGGCAAGAGAATGTGCGGAAAAATAAGTCGGGCTTGGAACTTACTACAAGTTCGAAATATTGCTATTTATCGATATCGATCCACCAGAAGTGTCAATAAAATGTCCGAAGTGCCTCGTTTCCTCAATTTTGAGAATTTACTGTGGAAATTTGGTAGAATGATGGTTTGAATATCATATCTGCATTGTGCAAAGTTACCAGCAGCACACAGTCGCCCGTTCTACCACTAGATCCCATTTCGACGATTATCAAACCAGTAGTTGCTAGCCTTACAGACTTCATTGATTGAACCATTGATATGCTATGTTACAATCCGATCAGCATTGGCACGCCCTTCCAAACCCACACAGTCGAAATTGACACGGGCTCTGCAGAACTTTGGTTCCCTGAAAACTGTCCATTTTGCATCAGAGACCAGTTTGTCACCGAAAAGAGTTGCTCCTACGTCGATAAAATAAGAAAACTCTGGGTGGTCTACGTAAGTCATTGACATACTCTCCCATCAATGCGTCATAACTGCTATCGTAGGGCTCGGAAAGTGTCAGAGGAGTGCCAGCCACGGAGACAATCAAATTTGCAGGTGTCACCATTGAAAATCAGACCTTTGGCACCGTCAGTAGGACGACAGATAATTTCAATTACTTTACAAATGATGGCTTACTGAGAATGGCGTTTAGATCCATAGCGTGTTGCAAGGAGCCCACACTATTCGAGAACATTATGGCAGCGGGCTCGGTGGAAACTCGTATGTTTTCAGCGTATCTCACAAGCAAGCAGGAGACGGGCTCAGAGGTAAGTTGTTCCGTCAGACTCACTCTCAAGGTGGTCGATCTATTAAAATTTTTCTCTATAGCTCTCTCTGGCATGTTGGGATACCACAAAGGCAAGGAAGAAACCTCTCTACATGTCCATCAAATCAGAAGTACAATGTACAACTCGTTGGGCCCTTCTGGGATTGAATCTATTATGGTAGATATATTGGATCGTTTTCATGGATACTGTAGTTGTGGGACACCAATGGAAATCCTTGGCGTCCCTTGGACTCAATGTTGTACGTCCTCAAAGCTACCTTGGTATATGTAGCGCATCTGATCCTCTTCAGATACTGACACTGGAACGACGCTCATATATGCTTCTCGATTAGTAACAGATGAGCTATACATGATGATATTCATAAATAAGATTCACCTCATTGGTCTATGCTCACAAGGATTGCAAGATTCCGGGTTCCAGCCGTGCAGACGACCTTAGACAAGGTGGGTCTGTCAGAGATGTAACTATTGAATAGCCTGAGCACATCTAGGGATGCACAAATGCAGTTGTGATTCGTAGGTTAACATCGCGCTCGTTTTCAATGGCCATAAATTCTACATTGACCGTCGAAATTTTGACCTCGGTAGGCTCAAAAAGTACCGGGCAGCCCGTATATGGAACCTGATTATCGTGGACAGGAAAAACAGATGATAATTCGAGGTTATTGTGTATTGCGTCTTCATCATATTCTTGCTGAGCTGGTTGTGTAGTCATTGTATTGGGGGTGTGCTCTCGCATGATGGTAGCGGATTGGACGCCGACTGGTGATCGTGGGAGGGTTATTCCTGAAATCATGTACGTACTCTGGTTTCTGTGGAGGTGTCGCTAAAAAGGATTCAAACAGATTATACTACTTTCAATTATGGGCCACATCCAGGGGAGGCTCGTATCGGGTTTGCAAAAAGCATCAATCAGGAAATTATAAGTTCAAGTTGAATACGGGGCGCTGAGGGTTTCCACTACTACTCTATCCTCCTTATAACAAATTAATTCGCTTTTGCACCTTTCCCGAGACCTGGGACGTTTCATCTCTGAACAATCATGTGCGTGTACATGACATAGAGACCGAGAATTCGAGGAGACGCATTGGAATGGCTCAGTGATGCCCCAGATAGCGTACAGTCTGCTGGCTACTTGCATGGCTGTCGTTGACAGTGAACTACGCACCCAGCCGAGCAGGACATGGATGGCTTCGAGGATGGCGCTTGCTTGTACGAACGCGGTGATGGTCCCGACCCGCCAGTACGTCGTTGTTGCACGGCAATAGACAGGTTGCAAAAAGTAGGGTAGCCCAGACTCAACGTGAGAAGAATAAAAATTGTCAGCGTGGACGAATGACAGGGATGCGAGGATGCGAGGATGCGAGAAAAGGCGGAGGCAGTTGGCTGGATGGCAGCAGAATTGCCGTCAGGGTTGAATACGTAGACAAGGGTCAGGATAAGGATCCATTACCAGCCGAGAGTGGAGAGGACGTTGTAAGTGACTAGGTAATATTTGACCAAGGAGGACTGCTTGGTTGCCTTTCTCGTGGTGCGTCATTGATCAAGCTGCCATTATGTCAGCATTTGATCTGATCATTTACTTGGTTCATCAAGCTAGGGGCTACTAAAAGGGTCTGTTCTGCTGCTCGGTTCTATAAAGTCTTTCTATTTTTCTGTCTGCTATGTTGTCTGTCTACTTACCCTGCACATGTATTCCTTGCTCTTCGCTGCTCTTTTCGTCTCTGCGCAAGCTCACCCTGCTTGGTTTACTTTGCAAGACAGGTTCATAGGCTCAGATTTCTTTTCTGGCTTTGACTGGAAAACCTTTGACGATCCTACTCACGGTCGCGTCAACTACATCGACAAGCACACGGCTATAGCCACCAATCTCTCTTATGGTATCGTCTATTATCTACCTTCGTAGGCCCAGTTGTTCAACCACACACAGCTTCAGCCGATAATTCCAAGTTTTTTATGCGCGCCGACGCCCACAACGTCGTTTCTGCCAGCGATTCTCGTGGCAGGGACAGCGTTCGCATTGAATCATTCTCCGCCTACGATCAATCTGTCGTCATTTTAGACGTCGAACACATGCCTGCTGGTTGTGCGACGTGGCCGGCCTTTTGGTCATTCAGTCAGTCAAGCCCTTGGCCTCAGGGCGGTGAAATAGATGTAAATATACTGTTCCCCCTATTCCATTCTCCTAAGTTGCTCATCATCAGTTATGTAGATCATAGAAGGCGTTAATCTCAATACAAACAACCTCGCTTCTCTCCACACAACGCCCAATTGCACCATGCCTGAAGAGCGTTTACAGAGCGGGTAGGTCCCCTGCATAATTTACGTTGTCCCGGCTCACGAACGACATCCAAGGCAAACTCAGTCAACCAACTGCGACACAAACATCAACTACAACCAGGGCTGCGGATCCTCCTTTACTCAACGCGGCTCTTACGGTTCTTCATTGAACAGCATCGGCGGTGGATGGTACGCGATGCGCAGAACCAAGGAAACCGGCATCCAGGTCTGGTTTTGGCCTAGGAATAGTTGGCGGGTCCCAATTGAGGTCCGATATCCATTTATCTTTAAGCATATCGGCTTCGGAACAGAAGGTTGGGGCGAACCAGACGCGACTTTCCCTGTAAAGGACTGCGACTACTCGACTCATTTTGATAGTCACAAGATTGTGATTAATCTTACTTTCTGCGTGCGTCATCTCATTATGAGCTCATCCTTGAATTTAAATTGATTCCCATAGGGTGACTGGGCAGGCAATGTATTTGCTTCTTCCGGTTGTGGCAATTCCACCTGTGTAAATTGTACGTCAAGTCGTTTTCATTCATTTTGTCTTCGCTAACCGCTTCTAGTCGTTGATAACAATCCTGATAAATTCAAGGAAGCATACTGGGAGATTAACTCTTTGTATGTCTTCAAACGCGTGTAATACAGGTACTAATACCGAGTTTTCCGATTCTTGTGAGATCATGAGTACCTTACACACGGGATCGCATACGTCCCACGAACTGAACGGTCGGGTATATATCTGAATGGCTATCTGGTAATTCAGCCTCATGCACCGTTGGGCAGCAGCGTGTCAGCAGTATTTTGGACATAAATCTAAATGCGCATATGGCTTGGCGCAAGCGAAGTCAAAGCATTGCCTGCGTCCCCTCTCTGCTGACTCTGCCTCTCGGAAAGAGAGATAACAATACCCCGGCACGATCTTCCCCGAAACTGGCACATATCCCTTACGCATAGACTACCTCTCGTCAGCTTAACTAACCACTATCTGTGCATGGACATCTCCCGTATTATATTGGGGCCCGACGTACCAACGGCGTACTGCTTGACCTCGACGGTGTTCTGTAAGCCCAAGCCCAGAGGCAAGACTCACGAGAGAGTTGCTTATATGTCGAGGCACCGAGAGCCACTTGAAATTGTTCTCATGAACGATTTAGATACTGCGTACTGCAGCCATTAACAATGCAGCATATCAGAGTCCCTGCTTGGAGTCTCTTACTCTAGTCTAGTCTGACACCCGCTCTAGGATAGAACACGAATCCGTCGGACGCGCTGAAGGTCTCACAACGGAACAGCTCCTCCTTGTCCGTCTCACCCCGCCCTTTAGTGGCGTCAACTCTTCCACCATAACACAATCACTTGGGCTCCATCTCGCCGCCGCAATGATATACGCGTCCGAGGTCGTTCTGAATATCAGAGTATCAGAAGAACCGTTCAACAGCCTCTGCGTGTTCCTTAATGACACTCAGCTCGTGGTTACAATTGGGTCAGCAGGTTTACTGTGGGGTTAGATATCGATGGAAAGGCGAACGTACTAGTGCCGATACCCAGGGTCGAAACGTTACGCTGAAGCTTTGAGGATCAATACTTCATTATTTGAATCGATCATATGTACTGTCGATCTTTTATCATCGTGATACCGGTACGAGTCTACAATGTCGTAAAGGCGTTCGAGACTCTGATACAGATGTTCAATGCATAAGAAATCGATCATATCTTCACCGAAACTTATGAGGTCATAACAAGCGTAACCTGCCTTGCAGGGCCTTCTAACACATTTTTTACAGGGTGGGGGTATATCGGATTGAGAGCCAGCTACAATAAGGACTTTCAGGGCCTGGAGTGATCATAGAGAGACACGGTGACTAACGGAGGACGGCAAATATGGCCGGTTGCCAACTTGTTGCTTGTTCGTCGCACGTACAAGAATTATATAAATAGTGAACGGCGTCGAGAATACGCATCCTATTGTTCCGAGGAAAAAATTATAACATCCACAACAGTTAGTACGACGACATAAGAAACTCTTTGCTGTGCTGACAGGTTGTCCTATGGGACTAAATGGGATTTCTATTGAGCATGTAAGAGCAGAACTCCAAAAAACAATCAGGAGTTTTTCAAAGGCGCACCGATCAGACTTGACACTTCCCTGAGAAAGTTGACCACTTATACGCTGATACCATTCCGCCGCAGCTCACGTTCTTCTGGGAAATCTTAAACCTTGCACAATGCAGATATGATATTCAAACCATCATTCTACCAAATTTCCACAGTAAATTCTCAAAATTGAGGAAACGAGGCACTTCGGACATTTTATTGACACTTCTGGTGGATCGATATCGATAAATAGCAATATTTCGAACTTGTAGTAATTTCCAAGCCCGACTTTTTTCCGCACATTCTCAAGCCTCGAAATGGAATTGTGAAGATTGGGGCCAAAAAATGTGAGTATAATAGCCCACCGTGGGGGTCGAACCCACAGCCTTCAGATGTGCGCGTAAGCCGCCTGACAGTTTAAGAGTCTGACGCTCTATCCGATTGAGCTAGGCGGGCTTACATAATGTTTCCATCCAGGATATCACGTGGAGCGGCGCGATTACTTCGAACCGCCGAGGGAACTATCCTTCCACTAAATTGACCAATAACGACTAATACCGCGCAAACCTGCTATCACACCGATGAAGAGTAGGACCACCAAGCTGCAGGACAATGAGGAAACCCGGAAAATAGAACGTCCTTCCAGAGAATAGGCGCCGCGACGCAGCATTGATATACTAGGTGAGCAAACGAGAAACACTATATGCATACAACTTTCAAAGTCACGTACCAGTCATCTCTGCTTTTTTCTAAAACTAAATTGAATTTATCAGCTTGGGACGACGCATATATGCGAAGAGGTTCACGCTCAACGCAAAGCCCACCCAATTCTTCCGCGGTATCACCATCCTCCTTCAACGCATGCCGTGTACCTCCTTGATATCGATATTATGTCAATGCTTGACGAGGTACGCGTCCTTCATTGACGCACAGTCACAGCCCCTCGGGCACGGAAGCTGAATATTTGATGGGAAAGAGCACCACCCATGAGAACGACTGGATCACACAAGGCAACCCCATTTTTTCCTATCTCTATTCGACCATTCCTGGATAGCCGCGGTGTCATGGGGGGTTGGGAGAGGAGTATCCGGTCCGATACTGGGGCCGCATGGTTAGAGCAAGTATCCGCAGATGCTTGTTCGGTACACGGTCCAGTGATGGGACTACCGGGAGCAACGCACCGTTGATAGCAATGCCGTACCCTCAAAAGCAGAACAGCAGCCTAGAAAGTGTATCGGCTTGGTACACGAAGGCGCTCATGGGACATTGAAGGAGGGTCTTTGCTATCATACTCCGAATCACCGTCGTAATGCAACGATGGCTTCGTGGTCTGTCATGCTTCAAGAGCAGGATGGAGAATAGCAAGCAACAATGATAGATGCTTGAAGCAGAGATACCCTTCATAGGAGGAAGTCGGAATTGCAGACAAGAAGCTCTAGAAAGGTACAAAACTGATATGGATCAGGATGTACACGAAACCCTAACCCTAAGGAAAGTTATTTTAGGTTCACGTCCAATGTCTGGAGGGGGGACATACCATATATAAAGCAACCCCATCCTTCCCCAGGCCCTCACACCTCTCCCTCAAACCACCACCATCGCCTGCTCTCACCCTTCTACGCCTCCCCCCCCCTACTTCGCACTCATTCAAGCAAACCAAAATCCCTCAATTCATCTGTAAGCTTTCTTCTGTTATTTGTTCCACGAATGACGGCGGCACGAAGACGATGCACGTCCAGCGACAAAATGTGGCAGCGGTGACAACGCAGCAGGATAGGGAGCTGACAGAATTGCATTCATCACCAGCGACGGCGTTCTATACCCCGTCAAGGGCGTCTCTCGTTGTTCCTATCTATGTCAACACGCAGTTTACCACGACGGTCCCCGTTCACCGCTATTGTATACCCAGTCCCGACGCGTCATATTCGGGATCTGTACGCGAATATATCGCACCGTCCTCGCCGCCCGCCCTTGTTAAACCGCATCATCGCCACATCCCACTGCCATCCCAAACAGAGAACGATGGCCCGATAGTGGTACATCCACTGTTACGACCGAGTCGTCGAGAAATGATGATGGTGCTCGACTTTGCTCACAGCCTGTCGAGGGTACGTGTTCTTGGTCACGAGGGATGCGTGAGCGAGGTAGCGACCAACCCGCCTCTTCCCTCACTGGCTATCGTCCACCCAAGGCTTCCATGGCCAGTGGTCATTCAGAGGTCGGCCAACCGAGAGTGGGTCACGGTCGCTGATGTTGTCGAGACACTATGGCATGCTCTGCACATACGCGACCCCATGGGATCGTTTTCGTCTTCGCTCCTCGAAAATCAAGATGATGCGCCTTCTACCAGCTTTCGTAGCACGTCGGGCTGTTTGGAGCGAAGGATTGTTCACCAGCAGAGGCTAGTGTATTTGAAGGGAAAAACACGGTTTATGGGTCTCTGCGCCATTGAAGGCGACACTTGGGAACTGCTCGTCGCGTAAGGGCGCGCAGATGCTGTCTATGCAAGTGTCAGGATATTTATTCAATGTAGCTGCAGGCTCGACCGCACGCACTACAAACATGTATCAGGTACGCTCAACAGACAAAGACGACGGACTACCTCTGGAAGAGCTGCCTTTGACATGGCTTCGTGTGTGAGTGCCCGCACATGAAAGGGTGGTGACCGTAGACGTCGAGAACAGCGATGCTCAGCTTCAGTGACCCTTAACCCCAGGAAATGTAGGGTTAGGGTCAGAACAAGTGCTGGATAAAAATACATATCCAAACATGTTCTTGGTACTGAGAATCCAAAAATTGTGGGCTAGGGCGCGGCGTTAGAAATTGGCGGGGGATGACCATGATATGCCGCTTGGAATACATAGCGATAGGACCGTATATGTAGACGAAGAGAAAGCACTGGTGAGTCATGTGACGGAGTCAGTGCTTGCTAGGCAGGCAGCATCGTTCCAGTAGACGATACCGCGTCATTGGAAAGGCAGACGAATGAGTTTTCGGTCGAAGGAAGAAACTGGTTACCGGGAAAGCATATGATAGGGTACGACACTGCTATGTCGAACAGACAGATGAGCGCTGACTTCGTTATATAACCTTGAAATTTCCGTCCTTGGTGGTGTTTTCAGCTAACGTCTCTCCTGCACCACCTCTGATTCTGACTCCTTCGTTATCGATATTGTGTCTGAAAGGTCACCACTGGGAGTTTCATCTTGCACTCAGATATGTATATATGTTCACGCAAAATGTGCTGACCTTTATGACCATCTTGGCTGCCTAGCTTTGACACTGATTCCGTCCTATCCCGTACCTGGTATTGGTCGGCAAAGAGTCGAAATTCTCCTCACGTCGAGTCGCAAATAAGCAAGGATTGTCACAGCAGACGACCGATTATCCTTCGTGATGCTTCGCAAGCTGCTGCCGACCGAGTGTTATATGGTTCCTGAAGAAAAATTTTTAGTAAAAAAAGTTCTACAAGAGAGTGACCGGGATCAACTCACTGTGACAGTTGGTCGAGCCGTAGACCTGATAATGATGGTAAGTAAAGATCACCAATGCGTGCCGAGAGGCCGATCGTCATCCGGACTTTGATATTCTCTACCGGCATTATCGGAAATGATAGTTGGTTTCCTTGTCTTTCGACTTGCTCGTATTGAACCCTCAAAAATTGTATTCCAGTGCTTTATATCCTCCCAATGCCGCCCTCGTAGGAAATTTAGTCCCGGCCGTGACCGAATCCAGCTTATGCCAAGGATTCAGAGACTTCGCTTCTAATGCAAGCCCTCGGAAAAAAATGACGGTCTTGAGGGACCCATCATCCAGTTACGGTCACGTTCTTGAAACAGCTGTATAGAAACTATAGTCTTCCCGAGATACTCTCTATTTCTTGTGTAAGCGAAATACGTATATTCTCGCCCTCAGCCTGTTTAGTGTCACTATCCATCGTCCATGTCGGATACTGACGGACTGCCTTCAGAATTCATACACAGGGTCTGCGATGGGTATCTTAACGCGACATTCGTCGAGTCTTTTACTCATGGTAGGCTCGATTTATTTTTGTGATTACGCCTACCTCACTCGTGGGCCATAGGGATGTATACCTTCATTTTTATCGATGCCCTGATAAAAATTTGTGAGTATCAGTCTATTCCTTGTTTAGCCCTGAACGTATCGCTTGCACAAGTCTCCATTCCAGGACATTGTTAGCGGCACCAACTGGGCCATAGCATACTACTCTATGACCCTTAGCACAACGATCATCTGCACCGCGCTAATTCTCTATCCCATGCTCACCACCGAGGCCCCTACTAGGGGGCCTAGGTCTAATTTATATTCATCTGTCACCGTAGGTTCATTTCGTCTCTTTGCTTGCTTCCCAAAGTTGATGCGCTTAAAGGGAATTGCTCCGACGCTCATTGTGGCTAGAGTTGCCTTGGGACAGACTCGTCCAGAGGACCCGCGACGATCGGTGATAACACGGCTCACTTGCGCACTACCCGTACTCCAATGCGAACGACGTCATTTAAATACAGAGAAGCGTTATCAGGCGCCGCTATTAGCGATAAAAGCGTCCTGTTGTTTCTTAAAGATGCAGATACCGTTCAAGCTCAGCACACAGGCCAACAGAAGAGGAAGATGAGCTCTCACCCAAAACACCACTCGTAAAGAACCGATCGGCATACTCAACGTTCGTTAAATCAAATAAGCTCACCGACCAGGTTGGTATTGCTGATAAGTATCAGATCCTCAAAGTGATCAGACGTGTTGCAAGTCGAAGAGTCAACTTGGAGGGTAGGATTGCCCTAAGAGCTTGGGGTCGGTAGGCAATAATTGACGTCGACGAGAAAGTCATAAGCCTTCCAGAAAGAAAACATGGCGTACCCGCTGAACCGTGGTCAGTATTCCACCGCCAATCCGTGGTGAGCTCGAGTGTATAGCTAGCTCCATTGGCGTCATGAAGGGTACCCTGAGATTACAATCTAACGTGAAACGGCGCTTATTTTGTTGCCAAAAGTGGTTGCAATTTAGGTATATCGGCCCGGATACCGTTGAATCATCCCTCCATATTTATAGCCACCGCAAATCGTCCTCATTTACACCTTCCTGTCTTTCATGGTCACGACTGGATCTTATAGCAGTCTAGCGTTATACACCCGACCGAGCGCTTAGCACGAACTTGTCACGGCTCCAGAGTGATAAATGACTGTAGTCTCCCTCTTGTCCCCCATACACACTATGTGCTCTGCATACGCTCGATTTTCATTACGGGTCTGTCCAAGTCTCATGCGGCCCTACGTTCGGATTCTACCATTTCGGCTCAAAGATAGACGAGGCATCTCCCTATCGGAAAACTGAACTGGGAGAAGACAGTTTTCAGTTGCATGCACTGTTAACCGATCGGTGCTTTGTCGGAGATGAATGTGGGCTTGTAATGGGGAGGGAGAAATGAAGCCTGTGCCATT